GATGTTGCTGGGATGATGGAAAATTTGAAGATGGGTTTCCCTTGGTTTCGCTTCGTTTCCCTGCGTTTTGTGTGGTTTCGTGTACTTCCGAGTATTTGAATGTTGGTGAACAGCTAGGCAAGAGTTCACCCAAGTCGGAGAAGTTCAGAGACTCCGAGACCTCCGGAAGAGGAACAATTGGGGAGGAACAGAGAAAATAAATTGAAGATCAACAAAGCAAAACAAGTCGAAACAAACACATATATTTCCTTTTTCCTTCAAACCCTCAGCTCAAGCAACTTCGAACCGACTACAATTCAACGTTCAACACCCATTTGCTCGAATTTATATGCCCATAGAAACTCAGGAAACGTACGGTACTCATGTGAAATACATACAAAAACACGTGTATCACGATGCTCCATTTGGCGTCCCCAACGAAAAATTGCTCCATCAAGTCACCCCATATAAACGCTTTCATTGAGATCTTGCCGGTCCAGCTACCACCTCAACCACCCACCCATGGTTGCCAAAATGTCGGACGTCGCGGACAACGAGCTCGGTGTTTATGTCGTGCCCGACTTGACCATTAAGCAGCTGCTGGATGCTATCCCGTACGATTGACTGTCTTTGAGCTCGGCCTCGCAGGTACTGATTTTGCCTAGGGAGCACTGCTTCAAGCGTTCTGCGCTCAAGTCGGCTATGTACACGTACGTGCCAGAAAAAAACTCGCCCAGTGACGATGCTTATGTGCGAGTTTTTAGTGTCTGGCACTTGTCGATCATCGGTGCTATTTACAAGGCCTCTGCGTACGCCGACACCTTCATCAACCCCGAGACGTTCGCGGCACCACATCCGGCCGTGTATACGCTCGCGCGCGTCGCTCTGTGGTCGCTGTACGGCTTTTGGGCTGGTCTCTTTGGCACCGGGATCTGGGTCATTGGTGTGTGCATCTGTTCCCCAATTTTTCTTGCTTCTAACGTACGTTGAAAGGCCACGAAGCGGGACACCAGGTACTTGACAAACTGGGCTTTTGAAGTGGCGCTGACCCGACTACAGGCTTTCTCCGACTCCAAGTTCATCAACAACACAGCCGGCTGGATCCTCCACTCCGCCCTCGGCGTCCCATACCACTCCTGGCGCATCACGTACGTCACGCCGCTTGTCTTGAATTTTCTAACCGTTAAGTTTTGACAACAGCCACGCCAAGCACCACGCCTCCACGGGCCACATGACGCAGGACCAGGTCTGGGTCCCCAAGACGCGCACGGAGGCGGGGCTCAAGCCGTTCGACCCCATACGCGAGGACCGTCTCGGTGCGCGCGCATCGGCCGAGGTCCAGCGCGAGCTGTGGGACGCCATCGGTGACTCGCCCATCGGCGCCAGCTGGGGCGTCGCCATGTACCTGCTCGTGGGCTGGCCGGCGTACATCATCCGCAACGCGTCGGGCCAGGCTCGGTACCCCAAGGGGACTAACCGTGCGTTCCTGCGCTTTCGATTTCGTACGCTAATTAATAACGATCCCGCAGACTTCACCCCATCGGCAGTGATGTTCTCGCCGCACCACTGGTTCGACGTCATCCTGTCCGACATCGGCGTCGCGTTTTGGCTCGCTGGGCTCGCCGCCGCGTTCCACGTCTACGGCTTCAGCACCGTCTTCACCATCTACGTCGTGCCGTACCTGTGGTGCGTACGAGTCCGTACCTATCTCATGAACTCCCGTGCTAAGCACCACACAGGGTAAACCACTGGCTCGTGCTCATCACGTTCCTGCAGCACACGGACCCGCTGCTGCCGCACTACCGCGCGAAGGAGTTCAACTTCCAGCGCGGCGCGCTCTCGACGCTCGACCGGAGCCTGCTCGGTGACCTCGGGAGCGTCATGGGCTGGATTGGCGCGCATGCGACGTGCGTACTCGGTGCCCGCGCTTACATCGTGCTGACCCTCTTCCCAGCTGCGGGATCTCGGAGACGCACGTCCTGCACCACGTCTGCAGCAAGATCCCGCACTACAACGCGTGGGAGGCGTCCGACGCGCTGCGTGCTGTTCTGCGGCCCGCGGGGCTCCGCTGGGAGGGCGGCGCCGGCGGGTGGGCGGAGATGTACCGCGTGTTCCGCGAATGCAAGGTGCGTTTCGTTGCTGCTTACATTTCCTTCGTCCTCGCGATACACACAACGCTGACCCACCCACTCAACAGTTCGTGGAAGACGAGGGCGACGTCGTGTTCTACAAGAACGCACGTGGGCTTGCGAAGATGCGCGCTGTGTTCAGCGACCAGGGCGCGAGCGACTCGGGGATCGAGATCTTGGAGAAGCGCAAGTAGGCGGGCGCTTTCTTAGAAGCCTTGCTGGAGCCTAGAAGTGGGCGCTCGCGAGGATAGAAACTGGTAGAACTCCTAGAGTACTGCTTCGTGTGTAGAACACGGTAAAAGTTGGGTGTATGTTTAATTGAGGAGATTCTTGGAAGGAAGGGGAGTGGGGATACGAAGAGTTGATAAGCGATCAACATACTCCCGCTCGGAGAGATTGATAAACTCTGGTTAGACTTCTTGAGCGGTGCATTTCACTATTCCTGCACTACGAACGCTACTCATACGTCCGAAGGGTAAAGATTGGAAATAATTAGCCGATCTATTCTGCACAGAAGGCGGAGATTGAACTGTTGAGAAACGAGGACCCGAGTGGTCAGTCTGTCAAGACAGTACATAGCGTTCAACACCTGTTCAACACTGTTCAACACCGACAGCTGAGTTCACAAGCTCGCTCCGGATCCGTAGGCCCGAGTTCCGGACGCATTCATGTGTTTCATGTTTTAATCACAAAGCTCTCACGCTTTCAATCGCGACGCAAAACGCCGCCGTCAGCGGAACAATTGCTTTCCGCCGACGCGAACTCTCATGCCTCTGAGGCTCTCAGGAACTGCTTTTCGAGAAGGGCACATGTAGGCACATGTCCACCTCAAAAATGGCGAATAACTAGCACGTCGCGTCGCGTGCCCTGTCGGGCTTTACGGTAATTTGTTCCGTCCTTGGTTCTTTCTCAAAGGAGTTTGGTTCAACCAGCGAACTGGTTTCACCAAGCACGCACATATTTTCGCCAAACAAGTGTCTTCCAAAAGTACAAACAGAGGAACAAATATGTTCCCAACAAGTCGCCCAGAACCAGCTATCAGTCTGGGTTGACCATGGTTTGTTCCGTCTTTGGTTGGTTCTGGTAGACTGGTAACCAGTATGCCATACAGATTCTGACCTGTGCTCGCCATATCGTTCTGGATGGGGTTCAATCATCGTACCTTTGCTAGCTCGTACTGGTTTTAACAAGCATGCACACATTTTTGCCAAACAGGTTGCAAACAGGTGTCTTCCAAAAGCGCAAACAGGTGCAATGATATTCGGAAGTGTTCGGACCGTTACCGAGCCTCGAGCCTCCCGTAGGTTTGGGTAAGTTTGTCTGGAATGGGACTAGCTTCTCACTAGCAACGCATGAACATATTTTGCGGAAGCGTCTGCAAGGAGCAGACTTATCAGAACACCGCGGAGGCAAACGAAGGCATTGTGAGCATCGCAGCATCGCGTGCCTCAATCAATACTCCCAGGCGTCTGTATCACATCGTGATACAGGCATTCTCGTAATTGACGTTGTGGTGGCCCGTGGGTTTCGAAGGATGTCGAATGTTTGCATCGTGTTGTACGAAATCGGTTGACCCAGAGGTTTTGACGCGTTCCATAGCGGGACTCGAGGATTCCACTGGAGGCGCCTTAAAAGGAACTTGTGTACGACCTCCAATTGTCATCCCTCTTGTCAGAGTCTCATTGACCAAACTTGTCATGAACTTGCCTGCCGTTTCTAAAGCGCGCCGTCGGGATCAAACATTGCATGTGTCGAGTCCGTGTTAACGCGTCTTTCAGAGAAATCTACTCACTTTCAATTTAGAATGTTTCCCTAGACCTGTCCAGTATGAAGCACTTGACCTGCCCCAATTGCTGTCCGTGGCCGATGACTGTGTCTGCGGGGACCACAGAGAACACGCGAGGGGGGAGATTATACGTCTCCTCCTTCGAGGCGACCATCTTGGCGGCCGAGGTTCTATGAATGTCCACGGTCCGGAGATACTCAAGTTGGCATACCGCCACAAGGATTACAGACTGGCGGATCTGGTAGAATGTGTCTACATCCAGTTGTTCGAGATAGAAGCAGTAGCGTTGACCCAGAAGCTATGCACCACGAAAGCAGAGCTGGCGGTGGAATTTCGGGGTCTTGTAGAGTGGAAGAACCAGCTTGACAACAGAGCAGAAGAATTGATACAGGCGTTAACGGAATTCGAAGGCCAGATTGAATGGGTGAAAGAGATACTTGCGCTGACAAAAGCTACACGTGCTGGCAAGTCCATTATTCACACACAGACATTTTATTGTTGAATGCTGATTTGAAGCCACCAAGATATGATAAACCGGAACTGAAGGGTGCGATGTGTATATTTTTGAAACATAAATTGTATCCGGAGCCGTAGTATTCGAGGAGTAAGTGCATGTAAAGCCGTTATGGACGAGATATTTCCAGGCGTGAATGTGCGGCTAGGGCAAGAAAGGCTTCAAGGAGCCCAACGAGTTGTTAGTCGTAACTTGTACAATTGACAAGTCGGCCACATTGAATGCTGACTCGGAGCGGAAAAAAGGCCCGAGCGATAGCAGATGTCACGACGGCAGACTCGGAGTGAACTGCGGACTGAGATGACAATATCTTGCTGGAGTTGGTGCAGTTATATCGAAAACTTCAAGCCTTTGCAGCGATGCAGCACTCGAGCAACAAGCCCCAGCGAAGAGCTGAGTGTGGACGTTGTGGAGGGAAAAGACAGCTGATTTGACGGATAAATCAGAACTCGGTGATCCAATCATCCGGATCAGCTCGCTTCTCTCCGACTACGCCCGCTCTGGACAACTTCAAGGGTTCAAAAAACGTTCAATGCTGCGACAAGTCACTTTCTTGCTCACCGGCGCAGAAAAATAGAATCCCAAAAATTAAAGGAAACTGGGGGATTCGAACCCTCCACTCGCTCAATCATGCTAGTCCTCGGCTCGAGTTAGCTAACTTAGGGGCCAAGCCCAACTGTACCGATCGCTTCTGTGTTAGGCGTGTGTTACCGCTACACCAAGTCTCCGTTAAAGAATAGCCTGCGTGCTTCCTGCGTGGAATGCTTTTGGGCACCGGAATTTACTGAACAAGAATTATACAAGTCGTCTCGGTGTGAATGACATTCTGAATCGAACATAGCAAAAAGATATAATGCTTCAAGTACACGGTGACAAACGCCTCACTGTAGGTCCTAGTCCATTTCTAGCCCATAGCAAAGCTATGCATTCTGGGGGAGAGAATCGACGCGACAGACTGGCAAGATAACCGTCCGCGGCGTCTGAGGAGACGATACTGTTCCGAAAGAAGAATGGGAGCTAACAGACGCAGCTTGGGCTGAGTGCGATGAGATTTGGGCCGGCATGGCCGCGGATCGGGGCCAAGGGACGATTTTCTGCGAAGAAGTGGTGGGGAAACCCACAACTTTGGGAAGAGGAGAAAGTTCCTTCCTCAGCGAGTCATCGCTCTGTTACATGATACATAAATTGTTCAGTCTCTATCAAAAATGACGCACGTAATGGGAATAAATGGACGGTGGGGGCCTGGTGCCTCCCATACCCGAAAATACACTTGGATGGGTATGTTCGCAAAATACGACAGAGCTTTGCGGGATGTCATGGCTGGGAGATGTCGCAGAAGAAGATGGACCAGACAGGAAGTTAACCAGGAGCGTCAACGCATATACACGGCCTTGACAGAAGAAGAAAAATTCGAACACTGGATGTCCGTTATTGTTGAAATTAAATAAACTAAATTTAAACTCACCGATGTTGTAGTTGAGGAACAAGATCATCATAATGAGAGTATTCGACGCGACGATGGCGCCAGAGGCAATACTGAGAATATAAATTCGGCCAAATAAACTGAGGACTCGGTTGAGAATATGGGTCGAAGATGCCGCAGGATCTACCTCTTTGTCGAAGCAGCGTTCGTCTTGATTTTGAAGAATTCGTAACCCAAGCAACCAGCAATCAACAAGTCCGACAGTGCACATAAAATTGCACCAACTCTGTGAGGAAAGTAGTCAGCGAATTGGTCCAATAGAAGGATTAGCGGCGCCGACGCAGTGACGGTAAACGTTGGGAGTTCTATGAACGAAGTTGTCGGGAATTCCGCGAACGGAGTTGTCTGGACCATGATCCCAGCAGCGAAAGAAAAGGAAAACTGTCCAGATCGTGAAAAGAGAAGAGAAATAGATAATTAGGGCAACCTACATGCAAAACGGCGAGGAAGGCCAGAAACAGGCTGATGAGCCGATTTCTTGTCCTTGAACATGAGGTAAGTATCGCGAGAGAGGAACTCGTAACACCAAGGCTTACAAGATGAAGTACAATTGACACAAGAACAGTTGCTCGCAGGTCGCAGTGAGATAGGTCAAGAAGATCATAACCGAGGTTGGAATTGACAGCGAAGTGAGGGCCTTCTTTCCGAGGAGACATAGGAAAGTCATAAACACGTTCGCGTTTACGGTTATGGTGCACAAGGTGTCGAACAGGACCAGGGCACCCACACCAATTCTGTGAGGCAAAGGACGCGAACAACGTTGGAAGTACCGAATGCACATAACGAGTTCCAACATGTAAAGCATCATGTTGACCCACGATCCTGCGAGCTCCACCCTACGGCGATTCGAAGTCAGACTATGAGATCGAAAGTGCATACACTTACCCGTAGGTTAACAAGGATTGATCCAAAGCCATCCTGGGTTCGAAAACTCGGGTTAACCAGTCGATTGAAAAGGAATGAAGAATATACAAAAAGTTCGTTGAAGGTGATGCAGGCGAGGACCTGTAGGAGAATATTTAAATGAGGCAAGAGATGCGGAAGTAGCGGAGACCTGGTCGAAGGGTAACGTTGATCACGGAAGGACGTGAGTTACGGCGGGAGGCTGAGAATTACATCGACATATATAAGCAGAAGAAATTTTTATGGGAGTAGAACCGGGAGAAGCCATTCTGTTTGCCGAGATGCTGTTATATTGGGGAACCAAACAATGAGCCAGGCCAGAGGAAGGAGGCTTGCCGCATAGGCGTTATTTCCTTGAGAGAAGAAAAATAGCCTTTGAGTGCGAGGGAAAGTTCGCCGTCCGAAGCTCAGGAAGCGATCCTAAGTTTAGAATGGTCCGTTTCAGCGCAAAGAGGGTGAGGTCGACATTTTGGGTCAATATTAATGAAAACGAGGACGAGCCGATGTCATTCACCGCACTGCATGTTTGTAGTTTCATTTCCAGCTCGCCATTGAAACTAATATTTGAGCACAGACCTTTCCATAAGCACACCACGCACCTATTTATTCGACATCTAAACTAGTCGTTCGGTTACCTCGGCCATCCAAGCCCAATCATACAAATCATCGAGGATTCGACACTGAAGTTGAGTATTCATCCAGTTCCCGTATCACATACATGATGAAGACGATTGGACCTGAACGGAGCTGAAAACTCGCATGCATTGCTTCCGACTGATCTCGAAACATGCACGTACGTATCGTCGCCAACCCAACGAAGGTCCTCCTCCAGTAAAAATGAACGAGCGGAGGGCGCGAGACGTCTGTCGATGAACTTTGTCTGCAGAGAACCGGGAAGCTGTGTCTGAGATCCAGCATCATACATGACCTCCAAAAGCACGCACTTGGTTGGACAGCACTTGTTTCCTGGAACGCGAGTCCAGCTGCTGGGGACGAATACAAAGGCTTCCAGAGAAAAAGATCAGGTTACTGAAAGACATGCTCGGTGGTCAACATCTCGCCCGGGGAGTTGATTAGGTTGCTAAGCGGCTGTTTTTTGAGCGCTAAACTGTCGATTTCAAGAAATGTTGGTGGAACATTGGAACTGGCATTCAGCCAAGCGTTTTGAAACGACAAGAGTGCAATCAGGATGGCACGAGGAGGCCCTGGTATACTACATAGGTAAATCCCAGGCATCCCAGATGCAATGCCAAGCATCGAAGACGGGGCAGACCGACGAGGCCTTCGCCACGGCCAAAATAGCTGGGTAAGGTTCGTTCAAACTGAATCACGTTGAGTACGTCATCAGAGAACTACCTTTGAAGATTCCATTTTAGGGTCGATATCCCACAAGGGCCACCCAAAGACCTCGATGAGTCGACAGACTCTTCGTGTGATCTGGCTGATTTGAATCTGGCTGAATCTGGTGTATTTTGGAAAGTTGTGTCGGTTGCCACACAGGGTGATTTGTCGGTGAGTTGGCTTGTATTCACCGTTTTTGAGTGAGCCAGAAGGGAGGCGGTGAGGAATCGATATCGCGCCCTCGTGACGCTGCTTGAAGCCTGTGAAAAGAGTCACCGGCATGATCCCCTGCTGTTGCATAGTACTGAGCACAAAAATCTCTGGGGCGAGGATAGTTTGTCCTTCTTGGATGCCCATCTCCAGTAGATGACCCGTATGGTGCGTGCATTGCATGCCGCAGGATCAGACGATAGTAGAGTCCGAAAAAGGAAATGGGACAAATATTGACCAGCAACGCGGTACCGCATTGTGCCGCCTTGGCACTTGCCACCTTCTCTCACTCCTGGGCCATCTGGTCGGAAGCTACAGAGCTTGGGGGTAACGGCCTCCGTATCTTATTGTCTCTGAGCTAGCGTCTTTTGACCTTCAAGCAATCACCAGTAGTTACCGATCTTATCCGACGCCTTTGTTCTGCTTTTGTTTTGTCTTTCGGAGTCAAAAGACGGTACCCACGACCCCAGAGCATCTAAATCCTAGAATGTCTCCTCGTTTCATTATCCAGGATGGAGGCACCATTCGGGAAACCCGCGATGACGTTCCCGAACGTCCAAGAAAGCGCCAGCGAACGGACTCGGGCATCGACACTGGTGGATATAGTGACGACTGCTTAGAATCGACAGGACCTATAGAGGATGACCCCGACTTTTATCGAAGTGAAAATGAGGCAGACTGTGTTGTCCGTGTAACGAATACCCGCTTCAAGGTCAGTTTCGTCTTCTTCTAAATACCTTAAAGCTTACGGTCCACAGATCAAGGGTTCTCTACTTTCAAACTCTTCCGTAGTATTGCAAGATATATTAGCCCGGCATCGTCGAGCTGCGAGCCGACCAGAGGCTCCGCTGGTGCTTATTGCCGATGTGGATGAGTTCCGTGCGCTTTTGTGGGCCTTGTACACGAGGTACGAGTGATGATCTCGTTTTCGAAGTGCTACCGATTTACCTTGTCTCAGCCCCGAAGAGCTTGCTGCTCAACCCCGCGAACACAAGGACGTCGACCGGCTGCTGCTTATCACCGCCATCTGCCGCCAATACCGCTGCGCCGGCCTCGCAGCGTGGTCCAAGGCCGCGATCCTACGCAGTGTCTCCGACGACGACGCGTTCATCGCCAGCTGCTCCTCCGCAATGTTCCGGCGCATCCTGGACGTTGCCATGCGAACGGGACACAAAGATTTGTGCGACGCCACGGTCGCCAAGTGGACTGCACGCATCCGGCATACTGAGGCGCCGTGCGTGCCCGCGATCCTCGCGGCGGACGAACATGAGCTGCCTGAGCTCCGCGGTGTCGCGTACTACTTTCACATCCAGACTATGACCGCGCAGCAGACAACGGTCACCGACCGCGGCGCGACGCAGTTCCAGATGGACTCCAAGCTGAAAAACGCGCAGGTAATGCGCTTGCTCTCTGGCCACTGGTCGCTCGTCAGTCTGTGGGAGCGCCTGCGGCGTAGCCCGCCCCGATTTGTGTGCGTGTCGGGGTGCGCGGGGCGCTGTGCGGCGGCGTGGGCAGAGCGCTGGGGTGTCGCGACGACAGCGGAGAGGGTCACTAGGCTGAGCTCAGCGAATGTGTTGGCACTGTTGACCGCCATGCGTGAGCTGCTCGCGCTGGATAAGGAGCTGCCGAAGATGATGGCTGCTCTGTGCAAGGTCGCCGCGCTTGAGTCTGTGAGGACGCAGAGGAAAACTGTTGAGGACGGTCTGGCGGATCACTTTTTCGGACATCTTTGAATTTGAACTCCACTCTCAACACGGTACGTATGTAGCAATTAGTGTAGTATACTCGAAA